GAGTAGCTGGGACTACAGGCACCCACCACCTCGCCGGGCTAATTTTTGTATTTTTAGTAGAGATGGTATCTCACCACGTTGGCCAAGCTGGTCTCGAACTCCTGACCTCAAATGATCCACCCGCCTCGGCCAAGTGCTGGGACGACAACCGACTGGGTTTGGTTTTGCATGAGCTCCTTTTGTGAGATTTCTCCCGGGGAATCTGATGTTGCCGATGCTGTTCTAAGTGATTTTTGAAATGGCCATTTCTGTTTGTGGCTGATTTTCTCACTTCGGCTTGTGCTGAGCATTGATGCTGCACCCACTGGTTAATCCTAACAGCGTAGTTTTGATCCTTCGTGGCTTTCTGCATAATCCCATTGTCGGCGGGTCCTGATGTTTCTGTTTCCCTTCTGCATTGGATGCCACCCGCGTGGGACAGCTCCAGGCCGGGCTGGGCATCCTCACACACTGCCCTGAGCACCACGCCTCACGCTCACGCGTGGCTTTTACCCAGTTCGGGGCGAGTTACTGCTCACATCGTGAGCTGAACTGAATTATGGAACACTTGCTCTGTGTCTACCGAAAGGGCCTCGTGGTTCTCTCCTCCATTCCGGTGCTGGGCTGAATCACACCCTTGGGCTATCGAGGTGTCAGCCTGGCTCTCCCGGGTGACCCCCGTCCCGCACGCTCCTCTGGCGTGTGTGGCAGAATCCAGCTGCTGGGTGATCTCACGTGAGTCCTCAGCCTCCCTTGCAGCAACACGGGGTCTTCCCTGTTCCCGTCCTGCCCTCCAGGGGGGCCTGGCAGCTTCCATGACCCCCAGGTCCGGGGGGAGTTCACTGCGGAATCCACCCAGGCTCCTGCCCCCAGGCCTCCCCTGTGGAGTCCCTGCTGGCAGCCGCCCCTCCTTGGCCTCCAACCCTGACCCCACCACGTGACCAGGCCTGGGTGGGTCCCTGCTCCCCTGGGTGGGGTTGGGGCACCACCGGCCTCCAGGCACAGCCGTGCAGCCCCCAGGTTCTGTCTGGAAACCGCCCTCGGGTCTCACTCTGGCGGCTCTGTCTGTGGGGCAGTGTCTTCGGTCAGCACTTTTGCTGCAGAGCTTGCACAGTGAGGTGGGGGCCTCCCAGTTGTGACTGGAGGGAGGGGGCGGTGCAGGAGGGCCAGGG